CATTTTTTAATACTGGTTTTTTCATTAAATTAAAATACCAAATTACATTAATTAAAACTACATTAATTGAAATTTAAAAAATAACAATAACAATAAAAATAAAAATTACATTAAAAAAACATTAAAAAAAACTAAAAATTTCAACCAAAAATAAAATAAACTACCCCTTACGCCTACGTCGGGCTCGGACCGTCTCTTTCATCGCTTGGAAAAGTTCCAAGTCTTCGCCCTCAAGGTCGTCTGATTTCCTTTTCAAGATTTCCATATCGGTTTTTGTTGGGAGTGTCTCTTGTGCCTCTTGAAATGATAATTGTGCTTCGATCATTTTTTGTTCCATCCGAGTCATCACCTTGGCCTTCGTTTCTTGAAGTTGCACATATCGATCAAATTTATCGCCAAATATATCCATAACACTAGAATTCAAAGATGTTGACACCGCTTTTTTTGCTTTATTTCTTCCAACGGGCCGACAAAGAGGTTGGTCATTTTCAAGATCTATCGGATCGTCGTTGATGTCGATGTGTGTTCGGCTGTCCGATTGTTGAGAAGTTCCATCGGGGTTTCTCGAACGCTTTGAATCCGAAGATTGGGAAGTTCCTTCCGTTTGTTCTTTCCATTTTGGGGCGTTGTTTTTTCAAATTGGTCCATGGCCGCCTTGAAAACATCAAAATCGTTCGAGCCGTTTTTGCGTATGTTTAGGAGGTTGTTGTATATTCCTCCAAACTCGGTGCATTTTAGTCGAATATCTCGCCATTTCGACGTAATTTGATCGGCATTTGAGTTTCACTTTCCATTAACTCGTAAAAAATGTCTCCGACTTTTTCCCAAAAACTTCCGTAAGGCTGACTATCTCCTACAATTGGATCTTCGGAAGCCACCACCCATGCCTTCGCTAACTTTTCTTCTTCTTCTTTTGGAAACTTTACCCTGAAGAACCATCCTAATGGGAACCCAAACCCTTAGCTTAAAAGGTTAAGGCTTAACCAATAAGCACTTTATTCTCAAAGATTGCAACACGTTTCGCTATTATGAATTTCACATGATAAAAATTTATTCGTTTCGGGTACGAACCCTTCAAGCAGGATGACGACGTCGTCCGAATCATACGTGCAAATCGCTCGACCTTGATCTTCAATGATCATATTATGCATTATAATACATGTTAGGACTATTTTTTTTTTAATATTTCACTACATGTCACGTCTGCTTGAGGACTCCAAATGCCCTCTCGATATAGTTCATTACTGATTCCAGTCTCTTTGTGAACAACTTTGCCTTTTCACTTCGAGGAACCGAATATACCTTCATAAGTGTAGAATAATCTGGGTATATCCCATCACAAAGGTAGTTACCGTATTTGTACGAATGTCCGTTTACCATGAACGTCATATCAGGTGCTTTGTCGGTCTAAATATCGTTGAAAAGTGGATACTGCCAAGAACGTTAATGTCATTGTTAGAACCCGCGACTCCAAAAAAAGAATGTCATATCCATAAATTCTGAGATGCGACAGCTTCTAGGATTATACATAGTTCATCTATATCTCCTCGAGTGAATTGACCACGCCATACATTTAGATATTTTTCCCAAGCCACATGCGTAGTATCTAGATTACCAAGCATACCTAAAAATTTATGGCTCTCTTCATGATCCAAGTATAATCTCTCAATATCACGTGGAGTAGGTTTACGCAAATATTCATGATGAAAAACCTCCTACACACACGTGCAAAACCAATCTACACGATCAATTGCGGTCCTCTCGGATACTTTGAAGTATTCGTCGGATGCATCAAATGCTATACCGTATCCCAAATACCTAAGCGCAGCCACACACTTTTGTATACTACTAAAATCCATTCTTCCTCTAACATCGGGGTTTTGTTTGAAAAAATCATAACAGGCTTCTAAAGCGTTACTAATACGTAAAAATATAGCCTTATTTAGATGGAAACGATGTTTGAACGAGTCATCATTGTAAAGACAATTATCGGTGAAGTAATCACTTATCAATAAGTCGTGTGCGGCTTGACGATCACGATTGACGACATCCCTTGTACGAGCAACAAAGACTTTCTTCATCGTGAATGTGTTGCACAACATTGAAGAAGGTCGGGATGAATTCGCCGTCATCATCCAAGTCAAAAACATTTAACAATTCCAAATCTTCCATGTGTTTTTTGGTTTATAAAATGAGAGTAAAATGTGATGAAAGGTGAAGCTTTTATTAGATTTATATAGATATTGAGTTTTTCAAAAAAAATTAAAAACTTAAAAAATTGACAGTTGAACGATCAAGAAGGAGGAAACATTTTCATTGGCCGTTTACATTTGTCGTCTACAACACGAAGGAACACGACCACGATCGACCGGGATGGTGTGCACGATCGTGGTCATGGTCCAGCTCAACCACAAATCGTCTCATGCAATGTATACCAGATGGTTTTTAGCAGGGCCGTTCCAAACATATTTTGGGCCCAGGGCGAAAGAAAAAAATGGGCTCTTAAAAAACACAAATGTCATCAAGTTTTTTATAATAAATCAATAATTAAAAAAAAATTATTTGTATTATCTTCTAAATATAACAATTTCCATAAAAAATTTGGGCCCCTTTAAAAGATGGGTCATGGACGGTCGCCCCTATCGCCCACCCTCTGGGACGGGCCTGGTTTTTAGGAAAAAAGAAATTCATGATAATTATTTATCCTTAATTTATGGAATAAAGCATAAATTTTGGCTATTTAAATTTAGAATGTTTAATTAGATAGGAATGAATTTGAATTCTAATTTTGGTATACGATTTATATCAAACGGTGAATTGATTTCAGAATATCAAACAAAGAATTCAAAATTCAAATTAGGATTATATTTTTTTTTTTTTTTCAAATCTTGAAGGTTAATTAAAATTGTACCAAAAATTATTGGATGCAACTAATAAGAACCAGAAGATTAAAAACAAAAAAAGAAAATCTTAGAAGAGTGGCACATAGCACATAAAAATGCTACAAAAATGTTATGTGGCAAACTTATGATTATTTATTAGAAGAGGTAGATTATATTTATTAGTTTGGAAACTAAACTATATAAATAAATTCAAAAATAGTTAATTTGTTTAAAATGTAAAATCAATGCTAAATTGGTAAATTAAACAAAACCTAGTGTTTGGTTATAAGTTAACCCGTCTAACCTTGTGAGGACCATTTTGTAAGAAACCTTAGTTGGAAGGTTAGTTTGAAAGTTTTAAAAGAGACTTCCTAGCTATGAGAGTGCCTAAGCGCGGGTAGAGGAATCCAATGGCATCGGCGTCGGCGTCGGCGGACGGAGTGCCCGAGCCGAGGAAGAGGAAGCTGAGGAATGCGATGTGGATGGTCTCGTTTCAACGGCCGATTGAGGAATAAGGATGGAACGTAAATGCTATATGGGTAATGAAGGGCAATGTTGCCTATAGGGCTGTAAACGAACCAAACGAACACGAACAAGGTCTTGTTCATGTTCGTTCGTTTAAGTTAGCCGAACAACAAACGAACACGAACGGATAAACGAACGAGATTTTCTTGTTCATGTTCGTTCGTTTAACAAGTTACTTTGTTCATGTTCGTTTATTTATGTTCGTGAACATGCTAAACGAACATAAATGAAAAAACATAAACGAACAAAGACAAAAAAAAACACAATTGAACGTATATGAACATAAACGAACATATAATATAGCAATATAATAAAAAATAATTGAATATAGATGAATATAAATAAACTTAAACGAACAAACATAAACGAACGTAAATGAACATCATAAACGAACGTTCACGAACATAAATGAACGAACGAGACTATTGTTCATGTTCGTTCATTTAACTAAACGAACGATAATTTTTGTTCATGTTCGTTCATTTATTAAATAAACGAACATAAACGAACTTCCCACCGAACAGTTCACGAACGGTTCGCCGAACGTTCAGTTCGTTTACAGCCCTAGTTGCCTATATTCCCAGTCTTTCTCTCCTTACTTTCTTTTCTCTTCTTTTCTTTTCTCTGCTTCAACTCGATAACTAGGCGTTAGTTAGTCGTAAAATGTTGAAAAGCTAGTCATAACACCTTCTCGTCTATACCCATTTGAATGGAAAACGAATTTGACGAAAGGGAAAGGAAGAAGAGTGCGATTTCAATGCTTGAGGTTGGATCTAAAATTGCACATGGAAGTATTATTGCTAGGAATTGATTACAGCTTAAGAAAGGTATAATCTCCCTTCATCTTATTTATAATTTCGATCTTGGTTTTGGTGACCACAAATCTAAAAATCATCCCGTTAAGAATGTTTAGATGATACTTCTAATGAGTTTTAGTTAGTAGATCACTAGTATACTCTCATTCTTCTCATTCATGGCTATTTTTTTTAGTGGTTTTTGGAAGCGATTCGAAGCTACAACAATTGTGGATTCCATCTAAGTTTAACAAAGCATTGGGAAGATTTTGAAGCTTATATAACTTTTTTGGAACTTGATTCACTTTTTTGATCAGGATCATTGCCAAATAAATGATAACAACCTGGCACCTGCAATAAGAAAAAGGGAGTGGTGAAAAAAAATTAAAAGGTACATAGCTATTTCTTGCATTTATCTCTAACGGTTTAACATTTTTGCATATCAGGATTATACACATAATTTAACCCTGACAGTGCACGAAAATGAAATTTCACCCCTTGGATCTGTGAAGTCTGGCCAGTTTTTCAAATCGGATAAGGCTCCTATCTAAACACAAACAATGAATGGATAGTCAATGAAACCATGCTTAGAACTATATCAAGGATTCTTCTTGTATGTATAGTACCCTTTATTGTATATAAATATAATTTGTTTATTTTTAGCTTATGATTTACTTATTGTCAGATCAATGTCCATTGAAATCAAAGTAAGATGCACGACCACTAGAAAACAGAGAAAGTACCTGTTACAATAGTTCTTTGTAAACTGGATTTTCCAGGTCTTTTGAGCTTCACAAAATCATCCCACCACTACGTAACACGACGTTTCATGTTCTTGGATTCGTATCTCTGATGTAAAACCAGATGACTGAAGAAGCTCTCTCGACCCAATAATACGGAGACCTTTCAACAAAAGAATACTCTGTGGAAGATGGCTTATGATTGTACCTTCTATATCTAACTCTTTTAAGCAATCTAAACTTCCAAGTTCCTCAGGCAATTTCTCAATCCCAATACAATAGCGGAGATGGAAATCTTTTAGACATTTCATCCTACAGATGCTTATCGGGATATTCTGTAATAACTTACAGTTTATTATGATTAGCTTCTGTAAACATTCTAATCGGCCAAGATCCTCAGGTAACTTCTCAAGCAACGAACAATTATGAAGGTCGATATGTTTCATCTGTTGCAACATACAAATGCTATCTGGAAGATGTTTAATCTTTGCATGCGACAACTCTAGATTTTCCAGACGTTGTAATCGACCGAAATCCTCGGGTAACTTCTCAAGCAATGAACAAGAGAACAGTTCGAGAGATTTCAGATGTTTCAACATACAAATGCTATCCGGAAGATCTTTAATCAATGTACAAAACAAAGTCAGCTCCTCTAGACGTTCTAATCCGCCAAGATCCTCGGGTAACTTCTCAAGAAACCAACAGGATATAAGTTTCAGAGATTTAAGATGTTTCAGCTTACACATGCTCTCTGGAAGATGATTAATCTTTGTAGATAAGAAAATCAGCTCCTCAAGACATTCTAACTGGCCAAGGTCCTTGGGTGCCTCTTGAATACTGCCTTCTAGTTTAAGCTTCCTTAAACGTTGTAACCCACAAATGCTTCCTGAAAACGTCTCAAGGTTTGTGCAAGCACACATACCTATAGAAATAAGCTTCTCAAGATTTCTAGTAAATGAGTGGCGATCTTCCTTATAGAAATAAGTAAAGCGAAATTTTGGCAAGTCGTTGTCGGGTGAAGTGGGCATGTTCTGGGGACTTTGCGACCACATGTAACTCAGCTAAAGGAACAACCTCAAGTGATTCCTCCACACTGCAAGAAGCATCGCCCTTTAGATTAAACAAAAAATCTCTGAACCTCAAACAACCACTTACGTCTAAGTAGATAAGCTTTTGTAGGCATCCAATAGTAGTGTGAAGTTCTACCAAATTAGAACATGCATTAAGATCTAACCTCTCCAGATTTGGAGTCAACCCAAGGTCAAGGGTTCTCAACTTTGAATGACTAATTTCAAGATAGGTGAGATTTTCACATACATTAGCCATGTGAAGTTCTTCCAAATAATAACAATTATTAAGATCCAAATACTTGAGATTCGGAGTCAGCTTGATGTCAAGGGTTCTTAACTTTGACCTAGAGAGTAGTAGTACTTCGAGATTTGAACAACTCGGCATGTGAAGTTCTATTAAATCGAAGCATTTGTCAAGTAATAACTTCTTGAGATTCCGAGCAAACCTAAGGTCAAGGGTCCTCAACCTTGACATACTGATGTTAATAGACATGAGCTTTAAACATCCAATGGGAATATGAAGATCCTCCAAGTTGGAACATCCTCCAAGATTCAATGTCTCGAGATTTGGAGTAAGTCCAAGGTCAAGGGTCCTCAACATGGAACGACTGAGGTCAAGGTATTTGAGCTTGTTAAGAACCTAGCATAAGAAAAAACAATATGAATATTCGTTTAATACCAAAGAAATAGATGTATAACATATTTAATGAATCATGCAATAGAATGAATCAACTATATGTCTACCTTTCTTTCTCCCACTTCCCAAAGTTGTACGATTTTGCTGTCAACCATCTCAAGTGCAACAAGATTATTTGCATGAAATGTTTCTGGTAAAGAACTAAAGGGGTAATGCTTCAAATCCAGATATCGTAAAGCATTTGGGAAGTCTGGACCGACAATATCGAATTCCCAACACTGCAAATGATATCCCAGATCCATTGAAAGAAATCTTAGTTCCTTCATCTTTCTAAGACCTTTTATAATAATGTGCGGATTGAGCTTCCAATTGTGGAATTTTATATATCTTGTTGCTTTGGTACCCTGTAATCCAAATGAAGTCACCATGAAACTTGTATCTTAACAAAAAAAATATTGTGATAGATTTTTCCAACTTAGAAATAAACTTGATCTTACCAAATCGTTAGCTAATATATCTTCGATTTCATCACTAATCCACAATCGGCTATGTTTATAAGGCTTATCCGGATGGGCACGGCGAACAATATTCCTGCCCATTTCTTCAATATGGTCATGCATGCCCACACACAAATTATTATCAGAAATAGTTATGAGAGATTTTTGCTCAAGAACTCTTAAACCATTTCTAGCATGGAATCCACAGCTTTCAAGCGCTTTGATTGTAACCTCCTTCGGGCAACCTTTCAAAATGCATGCAACATCAAGGAATATTTCCTTGTAATCCTCCTCTAGACCAATATAACTTAATTCTAATTTTTTCAAAGTTTCTGATAATGGAATCGTTTTAAGTCTTTCTAGGGCATCTATCCATTCAAGTTCAATTTTACCACAAAGAAATGAACCCAAAACTCTTAGCGTTAAGGGGAGACCAGCTGCATAACGTATAACTTCTCTTGATAGCTTCTCATACCCTTGAATTGGAATATCTCTACCAAATGCATACCTACTGAAGAGGCAAACTGCTTCTTTATCTGATAACAGATTGATGTCACGTATAAACTGCACATGGTGTGAAACCAGCACTTGTTCATCTCTTGTTGTGATGATAATTCTACTTCCCGGCTTAAACCAATTAGGTTCACCTGCTAATGCCTCAAGTTGGTCGATATTATCCACATCATCTAGAACAAGAAGAACCCTTCTATCATGCATCATCCTCTTGATAATGTCTTTCCCATCATACACACTACTTACGCTGATGCATTTATCATTTAAGACGTCCTGAAGGATTTGTTTTTGCAAAGACTTCAAACCATACAGAGAAGCATTTGAAACTTCCCTCACATTCTCCACGAAGCTTTTAGCTTCAAACTGAAAGGATATTTGATCAAAAACAGCTCTTGCCAAAGTCGTCTTCCCACCACCTCCCATCCCCTTGATCCCAATCATGCGAACATCATCGATACCACTTCCTAAGGATGATACAACATCTTTGATTCGAGTCTCCATTCCTACTAATTTTTCATCAATTGTCAAACTAATGGATCGTAACTCTAGTGAAAGCTCTTCAACTATTTTTTGGATGAATTTTGCTTCATGCCTGTATATCAAAGCAGATTCAATTAGCATACTCAAAATCCAACATGCCCAACTACTTTCAGATCTATAGCAAATGTATATGAAGTAATAACAGAGTCCTATAATCATATTAAATTGATGTTTATTCATTCCAAATAACTGAGAATTGTAGTTCAAATTTGACAATCCAAAGTAAGATCCTATGTACGAGCTTCTTAAATTCAGTGTAAAAGTAGATCAGAAAGAAACAAAATTACAAGAATATTACATAGATCTGATGAAAGAATTACCCATCAGTAGTGTTCTTTAACTCCCACCCAGCAAGATCAGCTGCTTCTTTAAGAGCCTCCCTCCATTTCCCAGAAGCCTCTTCCATTTTGTGCTTGGAAAAGGCTTATTCAACTATCCCACTTTGTCTGCGGACTTCAGATGGCTCAACATCATAGAAGACTGGGTAAGCAGTATGCTCTGCAGTCCCGTGACATTCCATTATCTTCACAAGCTCATCTAAGCACCAAGAAGAAGAGGCATAGTTGGAGAAAATAATGATGTAAAATCTAGACTCTTCAATCGATCTGATGAGCTCATCACTGATCCTTTTCCCTTTCTTGATTCCCTCATCGTCCTTGTATGTGTGAATGTTTTTCTGCTGAAGAGCGTAATAAAGGTGATCCACGAAGTTGGAATGAGTGTCTTCACCCCTAAAACTCAAAAACACATCATACTTAAAGCTCTTGCGAATGGATGAAGTTGAAGAATATGCCATTAATTGAGGTATGCTTGAAGGATTCTATAAAAATCAAATCTTTGGAGAGAGTTTATGGAATATGGTTGCAAATAGACTTGGATGAGAATATGAGATGAGTTGACTTACTATCAAGAGCAGAAAGAATCTAGAAAAGGTGTGTGAACGTGATGTGTTTGTTTGGTAAACCTTTGGAATATAGTGGAGAAAACAAAGATGCTTTTTAATCAAAAGAGAAAGGGCAATTATTATTTATTTAAACAATTTAAAAAACTAAATAAACTTTCATGTTTCATCCACTATTTATTTTTCTTGTGAAGCTTGGAGAGGACTATTATGCTTTATATGCAGTTTTTTATGTAATTTTTTTATTCCAAAAATGATTGTTCTATATATTTCGTTTACATTTCTTAATAATTTAAAAAAAAAAAAAAAAAAAAAAAAGTGATGCTGTCTTATTCTCCTAAAAATTGACACTGTTTTTTTCATCAATATTGTAAGTAATTTGCATTCCAAAAATATGATAGATTTCTATTATAGTTTCACATTCATTAAATCCACAATAAATATCTTATTACTTAAATAAAGTTTTAGATGTCAAATATTATACAAAATCCCTAAAAAGACTAAATATATATTTAGACATGGAAAATCCAAGGATAGGCCCAATTTCTAAAGGGGAGATAATAGATAAGAGGGTCAAAATATTGATCAATATCTAGGATCCTATCACCCCAATTTCAACAATTTATCATCAAATCAAGCAAGATACCATATAGTCAATTCCTAGGTATTGATTAATATTTTGACCTATCCTATCACCCTAATTTCCCAACAATTTATCATCACATAAGATACCATATAACCAGGTACGCTACAAAATATTAGATTCCTCATTAACGTACTGATGTTACCAAGTATTAACAGCACAGTTTTCCAAAGTGAGTTTTCAAAAAAAAATGATAGCCGATTACAAATTTTTCTGTAGGGTAAAAGCTCTTTTTTTTCTTTCTAATTTTGTAAATTTGAGAGAACGAATAATCTGTAAAATGTACTATAACTTTTTCCCATAATATCTCAACTTTAACATGAAACCTATCAAAATTGTATGCACAATACATTTAAGGTTGCGATCAACAAACACACAACACATGAGATGATTCTTAACTTTTCAAACAACAATATTATTGTTAATGAGGATCCACTTTGGGTTGATCCATGAAAAAATAGGGCAAGAGCAATAAGCTAAAATTCTATTTCAAAATACAAAGCATTAAGCTCTAAGTCTAAAAACGAAGTTACAAACAAGACCTACAATGACTTTGCAAAGACAACTTATGTTCAGGCTTTTAGGGTTGTCCATTAAATGATGAATGCAAACAACAATTTATTATCAAAATTTTGCAGTTCAAAAAACTCTTGATAATGAGAAAGTCTTGACCTCATCATCAAAGGTATTCATGCATATTTTAAGGTGAACACATAGATTATATTGTGGATGATAAAAGATCAACCACTTCCAAATTGTAATATAATGTGGAAAATCATGCTGATACATACATACATACATTTATACAAATATACATAAATACATAAATATCAAACAAATCTTAGATATAGCAATGTACTTTCATTTATTTATGTAGTATAGCATCCTACATTCAGTTCTTTCGATTGCAACAATGTTCCTGTTTTTTCTTATTAAAGCATTGTACTTTGAAAGAAAAATCTTATTAGAACATTATACTTTGAGAGCTCTACCCAAATATAGCATTGTACTTCTATTTTTTTTTCTTATTAAAACATTATGTTTTGAAAAATCTACCTAACTATAGCATTGTACTTTCAATCTTTTTCTTATTAGAACAATTATATTTTCCGGTTATAGCAGTGTACTTTTTATTTTATTTTTTCTTATTAAAACATTACACTTTGAAAAATCTACCCAATTATATCATTTTACTTTCAATTTTTTTTCCTTATTACAGCATCAAACTTGAATAATCTGTCCAACTATAGCATTTTACTTTGAAAGATCTACCCAATTATATCATTGTACTTTCAAGTATCAAAGTTTTTCTTAATAAAACATTATACTCTGATAAATCTACCCGGATAGAATAGTGAAATTGCTTTTTATTTTATTGCGTTTGGTATAACTTGAATAGGAAGAAATGAAAGTAGGATGCAATGATAAACAAACAAACAAAATTATGTTGCTGATTCATCCATATAACCTCGTACATACATGTCACATGTTATAAGAGACGGGATACAAAGAAATTACCAGAGTATGTGTTTCATCCATTTCTCACCATTTCTTTACTCCAAAACTAATTAATTTACTTTAACTTTTTTATGGGAAAAAAATTGAGGATGAACCAGGTTATAACAGTCTTTCCAAATTATCTCCGACTAAAATGAAGAAAAATACACAGAACTTCAGTAATGAGGCACTCAGCTCTCCATATATACATACTAGTTGGATGAAATTGTAGAAGCTCGAGATCCTGAAACAATTATGACCACCAATTATTAACAGAAATCCATGGGAATGATGAGATATAGTTTAGTTATACCTCAAGAGGAAGATCTATACCAAATTATGAGTAGAGGATGCTGAGAACAAAGTAACATGGGTTGAGATAATAAGTAGATCCCCTACATAGATACCAGATTAATCTCAATCAACAAAACATTCACCCCAGATATCACGATGGTTGATAAAGAACAGAATCGATGCAGCTGCCTGATAGAAATCAGTTATATGATCAAATCAGTTTTTTGACATGTACAAACAACAATATAAGAGCACAAAATAAAAGTAGCTTTTACAATAGTTCTATTTGACTTGTATCTTTTTAGTTATAATCTTGATTTTGGCTGAAAAATTAATTATCATCATAATAATTTCATTATTGAAATCATGTAACATGGTGAATAAAAAAAAACACAGAAAGTACCTTTTACAATAAATAGTTCTATTTGACGTGTTTTTTCTTAGCCACCAGAAGTTCTCAAAATCATCTCTGGAGCACAGTAGACGAGACTCATGGTGTGGGTGTAAACCCAATAATATGCAGACCTTTCAACAAAAAAATGCTACAAGGAAGATGACTTATGCTTGTACCTTTTATATCTAACTCTTTTAAACATTCCAAACGTTCAAGTTCCTCAGGCAATTTATCAACTCGAATACAATCGCGGAGATGGAGACATGTTAGACATTTCATCTCACAGATGCTATTCGGGATATTTTTTAACAATTCACACTTCCCTAGGCTTAGCACCTCTAAACGTTCTAATTGGCCAAGATCCTCTGGTAACTTCTCAAGCAGCAAACAATGATAAAGTTCAAGATATTTCAGGCGTTTCAACATGCAAATGCTATTTGGAAGATGTTTAATATTTGTAAATGACAAATCTAGCTCCTCTAAACATCCTAATCGCCCAAGATCCTCAGGTAACTTCTCATGCAACGAACAACCATCCATTTTGAGATATTTCAGACTTTTCAACATACAAATGCTACTCGGAAGATGTTTAATCTCTGCTTTTGACAAATGTAGCTCCTCTAAATGTTCTAATCGGCCAAGATCATCTGGTAGCTTTTCAAGCAGCGAACAATGATTATGTTCAAGATATTTCGGGTGTTTCAACATGCAAATGCTATCCGGAAGATATTTAATATTTGTACATGACAAAGCTAGCTCCTCTAAATGTTTTAATCGGCCAACATTCTCAGGTAACTTCTCAAGAAGCCAACAAAATCTAATTTTGAGGGATTTCAGATGTTTAAGCATATAAATGCTATCAGGGAGGTGTTTAATATTTGTAAACAGCAAACTAAGCTCCTCTAGACATTCTAAATGGCCAATATCCTCAGGTAACCTCTCAAGAAGCCGTAAGTCTTTAAGTTCAAGAGATTTCAAATGTTTCAACTTACAAATGCTATCTGGAAGATGGTTTATCTTTGTAGACAACAATATTAGCTCCTCGAGAGATTCTAACTGGTCAAGGACCTTGAGCACCTCCAGAAAACTTCCTTCCAATTTAAGCTTTCTTAAACGTCGTAAACCACAAATGCTTCTTGAAAACGTCTCAAGGTTTGTGCAAGCGCACATACCTACAGAAAAAAGCATCTCAAGATTTCTAGTCAATGAGGGTCGATCATCTTCATAGTAACATCTAAACCGAAACTTTGGCAGGTTACTATCGGGGTGAAGCGGGCAACTTTCTAGGGACTCCGCCATCAAATGTAACTCAGCTAATGGACCAACCTCAAGTGATTCATCCACACTACAAGAAGTACAATCCTTCATGTTAAAAAAAAAAGAGATAAACCTCAAACAACCACTTAAGTCTACATGGACAAGCTTTTTTAGACATCCAATGGCAGTGTGAAGTTCTACCAATTTACGACACTCTGTGAGAACTAACTTCTTGAGATTTGGAGTCATCCCAAGGTCAATGGTCCTCAAATTTGAATGAGTAATGATGAGTTCAGTGAGCTTTTGATATTCTTTGGGCATGTGAAGTTCTTCCAAACAATAAGACTTTTCAAGATCTAACTTCTCGAGATTCGGAATCATCCCAAGGTCAAGGGTCCTCAAATTTGAATGAGTAATGCTGAGTTCGGTGAGCTTTTGATATTCATTGGCCATGTGAAGTTCTTCCAAACAATAAGACTTTTCAAGATCTAACTTCTCGAGATTCGGAGTCAAACCAATGTCAAGGATCCTCAATCTTGAATTGGTGAGTAGTAAGTGTCTTAGATTCAGGCATCTTCCAGGCAAGTGAAGTTTCTCCAAATCGTTGAATTCAAAAAGAATCAACTCTTTAATACTTGGAGCCAGCCCAAGGTTAAGACTCCTCAACCTGATTAAACCATTAAGGTCGATAGATGTGAGCTTTACACATCCAGCGGTCATGTGAAGATCTAGCAAATCATCACAATTTTGAAGAGTCAACGTCTCAAGATTTGGAGTAAGCCCAAGGTCAAAGGTACTCAAGCTTGAAAAACTGAGGTTAAGGAATCTGAGCCTGTTAAGGACCTAAAATAAGCAAAAAGAAAATTGAATATTGGTGTAACAACAATACAATGTATGTATAACATTATAATGAATCATGCAAAAACAATCAATCAGCTATAATTCTACCTTTCTTTTGCTGCCATCCATCTCAAGTGCAACAAGATTATTTGCTTGAAATGTTTCCGGTAAAGACCTAAAAGGGTAAAAGTCCCAATGCAGGTATCGTAAAGCTTTTGGGAAGTCTGGACCGACTATACTAAACTCCAAATCACTATAACAATCTCCACGAACAGAAAGAAATCTAAGTTCCTTCATCTTTCTCAAACCTTTTATAAAAATATGTGGATTAAATCTGATAGTGTGGAATTGTATACATCTTGTTGCTTTTGTACCCTGCAATCAAAAAGAAGTAACCATGAAACTTGTGTCATAATAACTATAAATGTGTTAGGTTTTCCCAACATACGAGTAAACTTCATCCTTACCAAATCATTAGCCAATATATCTTCAATTTCATCAATTTTCCATAATCGACTATGCTTATGAGGCTTATCGGGGTGTGAGCGACGAACAATATTCCTGCCCATTTCTACAATATGGTCATGCATGCCTAGGTGATCATAATGAATAGTTATAAGAGATTTTCGCTCCAGAACTCTTAAACCATTTCTAGCATGAAATCCACAGCTTTCAAGTGCTTTAACTGCTTTATCTTTCTGCCAACCTATCAGGATGCATGCAACATCCAGGAATATTTCCTTGTAATCTTCCTCCAGAGATAAATAGCTTAATTCCAATTTTTTCAAAGTTTCTGTTTCCGGAATCGTCCTTAGTCTTTCTAGGGCATCTATCCATTCGAGCTCATCTTTTCCACAAAGAAACGAACCCAAAACCCTAATCGTCAAGGGAAGACCAGCAGCATAACGTACAACTTGTCTTGATAGCTCTTCGTACCCTTGAATTGGAATATCTCTCCCAAATGCAAACCTATTGAAGAGGCAAGTTGCTTCCATATCTGATAGCAGATTGACATCATGAATGAACTTCACTCCGTGTGCTACCAGCACTTGCTCGTCTCTTGTTGTAATGATAATTTTACTCCCATGCTTAAACCAGTTAGGCTCGCCAACTAACGCCTCAAGTTGGTTTATATGATCAACATCATCTAGAACAACAATAACCTTTTTATCACGCAGGCTCCTCTTCATCATGTGTTTCCCATCATAAACACTACTTATGTTGATGTCTTTATCATTTAAGACATCTGAAAGGACTTGCTTTTGCAATGACTTTAAACCGGACAAAGAAGCATTTTCCCTAACATTTTCAACAAAGCTTTTACCTTCAAACCGAAAGGATATGTGATCAAAAACAGCTCTTGCCAAAGTAGTTTTTCCACCACCTCCCATCCCCTTGATACCGATCATTCGGACATCATCACAACCAATTCCTAAAGATGGAGCAAGATTTTTGATCCGGGTCTCCATTCCTACCAACTTTTCATCAATGTTGAAACTGATTGAACGTAACTCTAGTGAAATCTCTTCAACTATTCTTTGGATGACTTTAGCTTCATGCCTGTATTTTAAATAAAATTCAATTAGCTTGCTCAAAATTCCATATGACCAGTCACTTTCAGATCTATAACATACAACCCCACATGAAAAATAACATAGTTACATAATCATATTCCATGGTTATTCTTTGGACAAGACTTAAAACTTGAATTAAAATTTGACAATTTAAGATGCCATGTACAAGATTTTATATCCAGGTTATATGCTAAATCAAAAAGATTCAAACAATAATATTGCAGGCAATGATCAAAGAATTACCCATCAGCAGTCTTCTTCAACTCCCATCCAGAGAGATCCGCCGATTCTTTCAGAGCCTCTCTCCATTTCCCAGCAGCTTCTTCCTTTTCATGTTTTGCAAAGGCTTCTGCCACTGGCCCGCTTTGTTTGCGGACTTCCGAGGGTTCCACGTCATAGAAGACGGGGTAAGCAGTATGCTCGTTTGTCCTCTGGCACTCCATTATCTTCACAAGTTCATCCAAGCACCAGGATGAAGAGGCGTAGTTCTTGGAGAAAACAATGATGTAAAATTTGGAGTCTTCAATGGATCCGATGAGCTCATCACTGATGTTTTTCCCTTTTTTGATTTTCTCATCGTCCTTATATGTATGGATGCTTTTGTTCTGAAGAGCATGATAAAGATGATCAATGAAGTTCGTACGAGTATCTTCGCCCCTGAAACTCAAAAATACATCATATTTAAAGCTCTTGTCAAGGGATGAAGTTGAAGAAGACGCCATTTGAAGGTTTGATCGATGGATCCTAACAAAAATCAAATATTTGTTGGCGAAGTTTATGCAAAATGATTGTAAAGAAACTTTGGATGCGATGAATCGAGTAAAGAAACACTTCGATCCGATAAATTACTTGTAACTTGCAAGCGAATGTGAACGGAATATGTGTGTTTGGAAAAGCTGGAATTTGGGTGGAAAAGAAAAGGCTCTTGTTTGGGTGTAGCTTTATTTTAAATGACAAATTTTATTGCCTTTAATACGTTGTATTTCCCTTTTGAAAAAGATTGCATTATGCGATTATGTCCATCCTTTTACTTATTATTTTACTGGTTATAATGCATATCACGGATAAAAAAATAAAATTAATTTTAATTAAATTATAAGCTAATTATTGACTGATGATAATAAAGAATTAAATAATTTGTAAATATAAATGTTTTATCTGTAATTTGATAATAATATAATGATAAGTTGAAACTACAAAATCATAATATTTGAATATATAAGTTATAAAGTTATGATTTTGTAAAATACAATAAAACTATGAATGTAGTTTTAAAAAATTGAATATTCATGAAAATGACATTATATGAAATTTAAACTATATTGCAATATAAGAGAAATAAGTATATAGAAAAAAATAATTTATATATATATATATATATATATATATATATATATATATATATTGTTTAATAATGTGGATTGACATATATTGTGCGAACTTGTGAATAGTGCTATTTTATGAGAATGACAAATAAAATATGTTGTTTAATAATATGAATATGTTCAATCTTACATAACTATTGTCATAATCACACATTCTCACTAATTAAATTGTCTATAAGGTTATTGTAGAATTTTGTTTATTATTCTCATTCTATCAGAATATTTATTGAGTCGTATATAGTAATAATGAAAATAAGTGAAAAACGACGTGTGAGAATAAAAATAAATAAGAATATATATATATATATATATATATATATATATATATATATATATATATATATATATTCAGTGTAGTTCGCTTTTTTGTGGTTTTTGCAAGAATAGAAACCGCACCGCACCGTACCAAATATTTTCGGTTTTTGCAAAACTAAAAACCGTACTGTCGATTTTCATTTCGGTTTGGTTTTTTAGTTTCGATTTATGCGGTTTTTGCGGTTTGTGGTTCGGTTTTTGCTCACCCTAGATGTAATGATAGAAATAAGCAAGAAAAGTAATCACCCAACAATTATAGAATTGAAGTCTAGTATTTTTATGGAGGGACATAGCAACATATTTACCATCTTCGAACAAATGAAGTTGATGGAGATGATATAAGTTATAATCAAAACCGATAAGTACAAACTTATACAAAAAAAAATATAGCACACATAAACATCACAAAATAACCCAATCAATTAGCACAAAGCATGTGAATCAAAAAATAAAAAATAAATAAATACCAAGTCAAATGGAGAGATCATAGTGGTTATAACAACCTAAAAGTACAAGGTGCAACAATCAACTTTGGATACTTTTGTAAATGAAAAATAAGGACTGCTAAATAATAATTTTAAAGGCTAAACCCTGTTTGTTACAAGTGGTTTTAAAAAATCGACATCGCATATGGTTTCATGTTCAGGACATGAATTTTTAGATAAACATATAGATATCTAGGCTTGTGTATGGGGCAATTTTAAGGATGTAAATACACTGAACGTTCGACGAACTGTTCGTGTACTGATCAATAGGCCTACTGTTTATGTTCGTTATTTAATAAATGAACGAACATGAATACAAAATCTTGTTTGTTTAGTTAAACGAACGAACATGAACAATAGTATTGTTCATTCATTTATGTTTGTGAATGTCCGTTTATGTTGTTCATTTACCTTCGTTTATGTTCGCTTGTTTAAGTATATTTATGTTCAATTGTTTTTTTATTATGTTACTATAGTATATTTTTATTTATCTTTATATATGTTCAATTATGTTTATTTATCTTTGTTAATTTATGTTCGTTTAACATGTTCACGAACATAAATAAACAAATATAAACAAGGTAATTTGTTAAACGAACGAACATGAACAAAAAAATCCATTCGTTTATCTGTTTGTGTTTATTCGTTTGTTCGGCTAATTTAAACGAGCGAACATGAACAAACCATTGTTCATGTTCGTTCTTATAGCGATATACAGTTTGGTTCAGTTATTGGATTTGATAGAATCGAACTAGAACCATAACCATTCTCATTGGTTAATACAATTTAGTAACATGTAGGTATTGATTAATGATTATTATTTGTTTTGGTTCATGACCACGCGTTACAAAAAATTAAGGACAATACATTTTAAAAAAAAAAAAGTAACGAATTATTATAAAAAGCAAAAACCACAAAATACAAAAAGAGAAAAAGAAGAGAAAAAACAAATTCCTTCAAAATAGAAAGAAAATCAGCATTTTGTTGCCCCACCCGTCTATTTCTATCTGACCAAAACATGGCCCACTTTTCGGATTCCCTAACCCACCAGACCCAATTACACACCCGACCCGTTCATTTTCCTTGAGCAGTAGAAAGATCGTCCCAACAAATAACCCCAACCCCAAATTTACCCCTGCCACTTGCCACTGCACCTCCCGTCCGTCGGCGACACCCACCGCAACCACAGTCGTCCGACCAGAGCCACCGTGAGGCATCGCCTTCCACGCCTCTCTTCGGTTTTCCTGTTTCCATCTTCTCTCCCGTACCTCTCGCACACCACAGCAGGAAACAACATCGAACTCCCAACCACCGCACCGTCGTTCGACTACCGCCTTCCACTTCCTCTTTTGTAATTCAGGTATGATTCCTCAAGTTTGATTCTGTGTCTCAGGATAATCAGGTTCGTCATTCATTCTTCATTCTTTCAAGACTTGTACTTTGGGCTTAAGACTGATCCTGGGTGTATGATTCATTTTGTGCAGAGTCGCAGGCAGTTCAAATAGGCATCATTACCCTTTGATTCAAGACTTTTATGTGCATTAGATGAATTCTGTGCTACTTTTTATTGATTGATTAGGATTATTGTGACATTGTCTTTGCACATTGATTGTCTTTATGAACTACAGTGAGTTGCCAAAATTGTTCAGTTTGGTTTTCTGAAAGTTTTGTACAGTGGGGTGTCGATTTGTCAAATTTATTGCTTGGAAAATTTTGTACATGCTTGAGTTTAATGTTCCTAAATGATGGAACGAAGTGGTGATAACTGATAATCCAATCACCATGCTTTCCTATCCTTTTCAACTCCACATCTGCCTCTTCATCTTCTTTGACATAATCAACACTTATATATCGATCCTTTTCCCTTCCTCAATTCCTCTTGTGCTAAGATCCATAATAATGAATCATTGGATTAATATAGTAAATTAATATGAAGTGAGGTATATATTTAAGAGCATATATACCTGCAACAGACACAACTGTTTGAGAAGCATCGTATGATACAAACATACAGTATACAATCACTCTAAAAGCTCGACCCATGATTGTGGCGTTGAGACTTGCTATATAGAAATAAACAGGAAGATGGTGATTAATCGAATAAAAAAAGCATAATTAGGTACATTTTGAAGTATAATGTCCTAAAACACAATGTTATAATAGAAAGAAATGAAAGTAGGATGCAATAATACACAAACAAATGAAAGTACTATGCTATTTCCTGCATTTAGCCCTAACAGTTATATCAGGGTATACCTCCCCAAGGTATAATTTTGTTGGGAATTTGGGATTCCACCCATGTTATGATGTACAGTAGGTAAAACTGGAATTGCCTCCTTTGTAACATCAACACCACCAAAGATGGCGTCAGAGATACCAAACCTCTGGTGGTAGGTGACTCAAGTGAAGATACATGTGGTCCTTCATTGGTACTATTTGAAGAAAGTAATATTAATCGCATATAACTAATGCACGATTTTGGAATTGATCTAAAAACAATTAGTCACAACCAACAGAAATCCATGGGAATGATGAAATAAAGCTTAAGTAATACCTCAAAAGAAAGGCCTGCAAGTGCTAACATAGCCTTCCCATCTCCTTTGCAAGTATGATCAGAGATTGCTGAGTAACATGCTCTACCATATCCCTGAAAACAAAATAGTGATGAAATAATTCTCAAGATCAAATTAAACTAAGATGATCAATAGAAAACAGCATGTAAGAGTATACCTATTACAATAGTTCTTTGTGTATTAGCTTTTCCTGTCCTTCCAAGCTTCTTCAACTCATCCCACCACTACGTAGCACTATGATGTTCCATTTCCTGGGGTTTGCATCTCGGATGTAAAGCCATGTGACTCAAGAACCCCTTTGGACCCAATAATAAGTAGACCTTTCAACAAGAGAATGCTCTGCGGAATATGACTTATGCTTGTACCTTCTATATCTAACTCTTTTAAGCACTTTATACATCCAAGTGCCTCTGGCAACTTCTCAATTCGAATACAATTGGCAAGATTGATATGTTTTAGATATTTCATCTCACCAATGCTATTCGGGACTTCTTGTAAACGTTCACACTTCATTACTTTTAACTTCTCTAAATATTCTAATTGGCCAAGATCCTTGGGTAACTTCTCAAGAAAAAAACAGGAGTTAAGTTCAAGAGACTTTAGATGTTTCAACATACAAATACTATCCGGAAGAAGTTTAATGGTTGCAGAATACAAAGTGAACTTCTCTAAACATTCTAATAGGCCAAGATCCTTAGGTAACTTCTCAAGAAGAAAACATGAGTTAAGTTCGAGAGACTTTAGATGTTTCAACATACAAATGCTATCTGGAAGATGTTTAATGGTTGTAGAATACAAAGTGAGCTTCTCTAAACATTCTAATCGGCCAAGATCCTCCGGTAACTTTTCAAGATGAAAACAAGCGTTAAGTTCGAGAGACTTCAGATGTTTCAACATACAAATGCTATCTGGAAGATGTTTAATGATTGTAAAATACAAAGTGCGCTTTTCTAAACATTCTAACCGACCAAGATCCTTAGGTAACTTCTCAAGAAAAGAACATGAGTTGAGTTCGAGAGATTTCAGATGTTTCAACATACAAATGCCGTCTGGAAGATGGTTTATCTTTGTAGACAACAATATTATCTCCTCGAGACATTCCAACCTGTCAAGGTCCTTGGGCACCTCCACAAAACTTCCTTCCATTTTAAGCTTTCTTAAACGTCGTAACCCACAAATGCTTCCTGAAATCTTCTCAAGGCTTGTGCAAGCACACTTGACTAGAGAAATAAGCATCTCAACATTTCTAGCCAGTGAGAGCTGATCTTCTCTATAAAAATAAATAAGCATCTCAAAATTTCTAGTAAGTGACAAGCTATTGTCGGGATGAAGTGGGCAGCTTTCTAGGGACACCTCAATCAGATGTAACTCAGCTAAAGGACTACAAGATCTATAACCCTTTGCCTGAAACATAAGAGCTCTAAAGCCCAAACCACCGCTTACGTACAAGTGGGAAATCTCTTTTAGACATCTAAGAGGAGTGATCAGTTCTACCAAATTACAACATTGTGCAAGATATAAGTTCTTGAGATTTGGAGTCAGCCCAAGGTTAAGGGTCCTCAACTTTGAATGAGTAAGGTTGAGGTTTGCCAACTTTTGACATTCATCGTCCATGTGAAATTCTTCCAAATAATAAGAATTTTCAAGATCTAAATTCTTGAGATTAGGAGTCAGCTCAATGTCAAGGGTCCTCAATTTTGAATTGGTGATTTGTAGGGATATGAGATTTATACATCTATTAGGCATTTGAAGTTCTACCAAATCAGGACATTGATCAATAATCAATATCTCAAGATTCAGAGCCAACCCAAGGTCAAGAGTCCTCAACCTTGAATGTGTGAGGTCAACGGATGTGAGCTTTAAACATCCAACGGACATGTGAAGTTCTTCCAAATCATAACAGTTTCTAAGATCTAATGTCTTGAGATTTGGAGTAAGGCCAATGTCAAGAGTCCTCAACTTTGAATTAGCAAGTTGTAGGGACGTGAGATATAGACATCTATCAAGCATGTGAAGTTCCACCAAATTACAACATTCTTGAAGATATAATGTCCTAAGATTTGGACTCAGCCCAAGGTTAAGAGTCCTCAACTTTGGATGACAAATGTTGAGGTTTTTGAGATTTTGACATTGATCAGACATGTGAAGTTCTTCCAAATAATAACAATCTTCAAGATCTAAATTCTCGAGAACCGAAGTCTGCCCACTGTCAAGGGTCCTCAATTTTGAATGAGTGAGTTGTAGGGACTTGAGATTTGGACATCTACGGGGCATGTGAAGTTCTACCAAATTACGACATCGATCAAGAATCAACTTTGTGAGATTCGGAGCTAGCCCAAGGTCAAGAGTCCTCAACCTTGAATGTGAGATGTCGACAGATATGAGCTTCAAACATCCAACAGGCATGTGAAGTTCTACCAAATTAGAGCATCCTCCAAGATTCAACGTCTCAAGATTTGGATTAAACCTAAGGTCAAGGGTACTCAACTTTAACCAACTCAGGTTAAGGAATCTAAGCTTGTTAAGAACCTAACATAAGAAAAAAAATACAAGACAAGATGAATATTGGTGTAATAACAATAGAATGGATGTAGAACATTACAATGAATCATGAAAAAACAAACAATCAATCATATTTCTACCTTGTTTTCTCCCGCTTCCCAAAGTTGTATGATTTGACTGTTAGTCATCTCAAGTGAAACAAGATTATTTGCTTGAAATGCTTTGGGTAAAGACCAAAAAGGGTAATAATCCACACTTAGATATTGTAAAGCATTTGGAAAAGTCCGGGTTATCTATATTATTAAATTCCGAAGTACGGGAACGATATCCAAGATCCACGGCAAGAAGTCTAAGTTTTTTCATCTTTCCAAGACCTTTTAGAACAATATGCGGATTGAGTTTCTCGGCGTGGACTAGTATACATCTTGTTGCTTTAGTACCCTGTCATCAAAAGACAGTCAACATGAAACCGAAGTTGTAACAAATGAACATGTATTAGTTTTCCCCAATTAACTTAGAAAAAGAACTTGACCCTTACCAAATAATTAGCCAATATCTCTTCAATTTCATCGGCGATCCATAATCGGCTCATTTGTGAGGCTTATCTGGGTGAGAGCGACGAACAATATTCCTGCCCATTTCTTGAATATGGTCATGCATTCCAATACATTTGTAACCTTTACTATTATAATTAGAAATAGTTATGAGAGATCTTTGCTCAAGAACTCTTAAACCATTACTAGCATGTAATCCGCAACTTTCAAGTGATTTTATTGCATTATCTTTCCGCCAGCCTTTCATGATGCATGCAATATCTAGGAATATTTCCTTGTAATCCTGCTCTAGACCAATATAACTTAATTCCAGCCTTTTTAGTGTTTCTGCTAAAGGAACCATTTTTAGTCTTTTTAAGTAATCTACCCATTCAAGCTCATTTTTACCACAAAGAAATGATCCCAAAACTCTGACCGTTAAAGGAAGGCCAGTAGCATAACCTACAACTTGTTTGGATAGCTTTTCATATTGTTGAATATGTTGGGGTTGAAACAAACTTTTATTCAGAACTAGAACAAAAGGAGGAGCTTACTAGCTCAATTACAAGAAAAGAAAAACAACCCTCTATTACAAATACTCACTCTATCACTCTCTGTTTTTGTGGTGCCTTACAACTGAGATTACAACTTCTATTTATACTAAAGCTAGCCACTATAAGTACTGTGGCAATTTATTGTGTTCATCGTATGAATAAAGAGGCTGCCGTTTCTAGTTGTTATTGTCAACAAAGGAGGCATTCATTTGTCAACTAAAGAGGGTGGTGCAGCTACTCATGGCAGGTTCACACCCAAGTAGGTTTACACTCACATTCTCCCCCTTAAACCTTGGCTCGAGATTCGTCACTCCGATCATGTTTCGCATTTCACCATGTTTCACGTATGCTAAAGCCTTTGTAAAGATGTCCGCCCGTTGATCCTTCGAGTTGACATATTCCATTATAATTTGCCCACGTTCAACACATTCTCGTATGAAGTAATAACGAATGTCAATGTGTTTGCTTCGTCCATGAAACACAGGATTTTTCATCAATGTGATTGCTGACTTGTTATCAACATATAAGGTGATAGGCATGATATGGTGTCCCGTGAGCTCCTTCACGAGATTAGCAAGCCAAATGGCTTGACATGCTGCTATTGTAGCTGCCATGAACTCGGCTTCACATGTGGACAAAGCAACAGTCTTTTGCTTTTGGGATTGCCAAGTTATCGCATTCCTTCCCAAACAGAAAATCATTCCACTTGTGCTCTTGCTATCAACAGGGTCACCTCCAAGATCACTATCGGTAAAACCAACCAAATCTTCAATTTCACGACCTCTTCCATAGTTGAGTCCATAATCAACGGTTCCTTTTACGTATCGTAAGATGTGTTTCACAACTTGAAAATGCAAAGTGGTTGGTTCCTCCATGAAACGACTTGCAATTCCAACCGAAAAGGACAGGTCTGGTCGAGTGTGAGTCAAGTACCTCAAACAACCTACCACTCGCCTATATTCAGTTGGATCAACTTTTTCACCATCTTCATCCTTCTTAACCTTTAACTTAGGTTCCATTGGTGACGTTGTCGGATTGCAATCCAGCAACCCAAAATGCTCTAAAATCTTCTTTGCATAAGCCGTTTGTCGCAAAGATATTCCCCACTTCTTTTGCGAAACTTCGATTCCAAGGTAGTAAGAAAGTAATCCCAAGTCACTCATTTCGAATTCTTTCTTCATTTGTTCTTTGAATTCGACAACGTCGTTAGTGTTCGACCCAGTAATGATCAAGTCATCAACATAGACACCAACAATAAGAATTTTGTCTTTTGAGTTCCTTTTGTAAACAGTTGGGCCTTGTGAACTTTTTGTAAAACCAAGACTTTTTAAACTTTTATCCAAACGAATGTTCCAAGCTCGAGGAGCTTGTCGTAGACCATAAAGAGCTTTATAAAGCTTGAACACCTTGTGACTGTTTTCTTTATCAACATATCCTTCTGGTTGGGTGACATAAACCTCCTCTTTGAGATCTCCATTGAGAAAAGCCGACTTGACATCGAGATGGTGGACAACCCACCCATGTTGAGCTGCTAAGGCAAGAATGAGCCTTACGGTGTCAAGTCGTGTTACCGGTGCGAAAACTTCATCAAAGTCGACTCCTTCCTTTTGTACAAATCCTTTTGCTACAAGTCGAGCTTTATGCTTCACCACTTTTCCCAAGTTGTCTTTCTTCACTTTAAACACCCATTTCAAACCGATTGCTTTGTGTCCGAGTGGTAAATCGGTAAGTTACCATGTCTTGTTCTTCTCGATTGCATCCAACTCTGTTTGCATAGCCTCCTGCCATGCCTTAGAGGTTACCGCCTCTTTAAAATTCAAGGGTTGATCCGATGCAATCATCAACAATTCTTCGGGTTCAAGGAACACATTTTCGGTTTTTGTAGATGTATGTTGTAAAAGTCGAATAGTGTGTATTGTAATGACTCACATTTGTATGTTATTTTACTAAGTCAATTTTGTATGCGAAGTGTAGTATGCGAAGTGTCAATGTATAGACTTAGTATATTTTTTGTATGTTCCCTATAAATAGGGACTTAGGCTTGAAGTAGACAGAGGAAGATCGAAACACAATATCTCTCTTCAGCTTACTCTGTAATCAGTCTTAATAAAACAAGATCTGATTAATATTTACTCCTTGTGTTCATCATCTTTTCATCATTCAAATCTATCGTTTCTTTTCTTAATTCTCGATAACAATTCTCATCAATTGGTATCAGAGCAGGATTCAAACTGCTTAGATCTGATTTTCGTATAAGAATCATTTGCTTTTTGAGTTGCAAAAGTTACTCAAAATTTTCCGTGCATTTTTGGTTTTGAAAATCACTTTTGATCTTCAGATTTGAATCGATTCTGTATTTGAATTGTTAAGTCGAGTAATCGATTAGTGATTTTTGATCAATTCGTTTGATTGAATTCTGAAATTCATCAAGTTCTCAAGTTTTCAGATATTTTTCTGAGTTCATCAATGGCGAACTTCAATATGAATACAATGACTTCTTTCTTCATTTTCTTGGTTCCTCAACCAAAATTCCGATGTTGATTCCAGAATACTATGATCAGTGGGCTGATAGAATGGAAGATTACTTAAATGGAATTGATGAAGAACTTTGGAATTGTATCGATGGAACAGTACAAGCTCCTGCTAATGTTCAACAAATTGGATCATCCACTGGATCTCCTGATGTTGAAGTTCAAAGAAAACGACTGAAGGATAATGAAAAGAGGTGCATGAGGGAACTAAGAGGTGCTCTACCTCCTGTGGTTTACAATTACATTCGTATTTGTAAAACAGCCAAAGACATCTGGAATACTCTAAAAGAAAAATATCAAGGTAGCGAAAAGACGAAGATCAATTATGTGAAGCAATGTCTGTTTGAACTGAAGGAATTCAGACAAAGGGATGCAAAAACTCTCGAAAGTTACTATGATCGTCTGAATGAGCTTATGTTTCACTGCAATAGGTATGGTATCACTAGATCTATCATGGAATTCAATTTAACTTTCATTATGGGTCTTCGCAAGGAATGGCGAAGTGTGAGCATGATGATTAAGAATCAACAAAGTTTTGATACAACTAAATTGAATGATCTCTACAATCAACTGAAAACACATGAATATAAGGTCTCAGAAATGTATGAAGAATCAAAACTAGCTATTGGTGGTCCTTTGGCTCTAGTTTCAAAGGCATCAGAAACTGATGAAAAAGATGGTTCAGATAATAAAGGATTTTTGATAAACTCTGATGATGAAGCTGTAGCATTATATTGAAACAACAGAATTAAAAAGTTTTTCAAAAAGCCTTTTAATCCAAAAGGAAAGATTAATGATGCGAAAAATGTTGTCACAAGGACTGGAGGGGAAGAGAGGAAGAAAATGGAGAAAATTGATGAAAAACAGAAAAATGCGAATGAAGAGAAAAAGTTGAAAGGTGATTCAGGAATTTATTGTCATTATTGCAATGGTGCGAATCATTTCGCAGCTGACTGCATGTTGCGAAAGAAAGAAGAGAAGAAAGAAAAAGTTAAAGATGAAGCATACTACTCCGAGAAGATTGAAGAATTACGTGCTAAGACCAAAGGAGTGTCATTGGTTGCTAAGGGAGAAACTGCTGAAGAAGAAAGTGGAACTTATCAGATCTGGTCTTCAGGATCTGATGATGAGGAAATGAGGCATCCCACCCATGGAGCAATGTTCGCAAGTTTTGAGGATTGCGAAGAGAACATTTCAGGGAGATGTTTTGTGTCTAAATCCACTGACAAGTCACCCATGACAACCAAGGTACGTGCAATTCTTGAATCTTTTAATATTCCTTTATCTGCTTATGATGCTGAAATTGTTTCATTTGATGATACTGTGGCTTATTTTGATTCTGTTATTGTGTCTGCTAGTAATGAAACTAAGAAATTAAATGTGCAACTTAGTGAGACACAAAGAGATTTAGAAATAAAGAAGAGCAGAGTTGAAAAATTGGAAATGCAAGTCAAAAATATAGATTGTGATAGGAATAATCTTACTAACGATGTTAGGTTATTACTAGCACAGAGAAACATATATTGTAATTCTGCAAAACGTTTGTATGCAAAATTAACAGCTTTACATCATTCTTCTGATATTAGCAAAGAACAACATAGGAAACTTTTACCTTTTCTTGAGTATGAACGTGAAAAAGTTGATGTTGTTTCTTATGATTGCGAAAGCACAATTGCTCGATTTGACAAAATACCTGATGATAGATATTCATATGGTATTGTCAAAATTGATGAATTTTTGAATGTTGATGAGTTGGTTAACATTGTCAATGAAAGTTTGACAAAGAGTGAACAAGTGAAAATCATAAAGAAAACTGAAAATTCAAATCTTGCATCATTGTTGAATTATGCTGATATTGATGAAAATTCTGATCATGTAAGTGAAATCAGTGAGATAGAAGAGGAAGAAGAGGTTGATTGTTCTCAATTGTCAATCATTAATATCACATCTAAGATCAAAGGTAAAGAAATAATA